TGTTTTTTGCCCATTATCCGAGTTTAAAGACAAAAAATTTTTTTTTGGCTGTTTCCTTCAATAAGTTGCTGGGAACACAACGATTCTGTTGCTTTCATTCCGCAAGAAGGATGTTAAAGAGAATTTTAAGGTGAAAAAAAAAGGCGGAGAATACAGAAATACTTTAAGAAAAACGAAGAGAACAAGAGTATTCAAAGAATCCAAACAAAGTTTATTTAAAAGTTCAATGAATTGGAGAAAAGCAGATGCCCAGTTGATTAATCACGCTTTTTTTCCATAAAAATTCTTAAATTTATGAACTGTTGAACAACCCTTTTTTTCTATACGACTAAAAAACATTTGCACACTCAGGTCAACTAAGCATTTTTGATATAAACGCCAAAAAGTTGACTTTGTCAATGATAAAATCAAGCAAAAAATTTCAATTGGAGTTTAGTGCCGCCTAACTCCTTCCAGCATTAGAACAAAACTGGCCAGTACACCTGTATAATCAAAATATTCCTCTTGCTACAGTTACTTCAACTCCGTAATAAAGAGAATGCAAAAAACAAACCAATCTGAATTTTTATTCATCAGTGTTAAAGTAATAATGCTGAACAACAAAAAAAAGACAGATGAAAAGGAACAAATACAACTTATGCCATTAAACAATTACACCAAAAGGCAATTCAAAAAAGAGAAAACAAACCTACTTCCACAACACTTAAATTCAGAGCGAGCTGAGGTCACCTTGTAGAAAATTATTAGGTAAAAATTAGAAAATAACACAAAAACTGTGAACTACAGCAAATAGTCAGTAGTTTCCTACTGTCAACAACCACACGTTCCGTAAATTACGCGCAACTGATGTCGTCCAGTTGTTCATTTAACTTTCTAAGGTCACTCTTCAATGAACGAACCGACAGCTTTGCCTTTAGTGACTGGATGATCAACTGACCGGTCGAACTTTTGACCCTTAATAACTAACTGATTAGCAGACCGACTGAGAGCACCATAAGCACTGAGCTGACAACATCAGCTTTATCTCCTTACTGTTTTTCCAATTTTTCAACATCCAAAGAAGAGAAACATTCAGAGACCTCTTAGAGTCAAAAAATTGTTAATACAAAGTTAAACCAACCAGCTCCCACTTCAGATTTGTTAGGTTGGGTGAGATGGAGTCCAAAATGAACCTACTGGTACCGACAAGAAAAAGCTACACAGGAAACGCAAAAGATGAATAATAAACAAAATAAAATTTATAAAAAAGTAACTTATTCCGGTCACAAAAATTAGTTTAAAAAAATCCGAGATTTAAAATTCAGTCAAAACATTCAAAAAAAATAATGACAGCAAAAAATAAGCAGAAAAGAAAACTGCCATAAAACAAATCTTCCTCTTTTTTTTCTTTCGAAATATTAGCGAAATGTTCAAAAAAAGAAACAGTGAGTGAATCTAGGGTCTAAAAATATGTTATACAATTGAATAAAAAGAAAAAAAAATAGCCATCCTTTCTTTTTTTTTTTTAAAGCTACATATTACAAATACAAAACGATGAAAGTCAAATAATCGAGGCAAGCAATGAGGTGAATGGTTTTCTTCATTCTAATGTTTTAAGCAAAACAATAGCATTATAATAATAACAGTAATAGTAATAATAGTGATGGTAATAGTTATAG